TAGGTGGGTCCTATACTCATCATACAGAGATTTGGTCAGGGGTCTTGCCCGGGGCCATATGATGTTAGTGCAGAATCAGGCTACATCACCAGTCCTGCCTGTCTGAGGTCAAAACCCATGTTCTTCCCATCACCCTCCAACCCCTCAGGCTCTGTACCCACATGCTGGCTACTGCAATGGCCAGGTTTGGGTGATACTCCATACTTGACATCTTGTGGAGCTGCTCTCCCCAGTTCTCAGCTCTTTTACTCAGCCAGAAAGAAAGTGATTCTTTTTGGAGAAGCCAAACTAAGTGTGTGAGACTTCCAAGTCAGTGGGGGAGGCTAATTCAGTGTGCCTTAAAGCTCTGGGGCTCAAGATAGCAGCCTTGACCGCCTGGGGCCTGTGGCTTCTGCTGTAAATGGTAGCACTCAAGTGGTCACCATAGCTCGGCGCAGGTGGCTCATGCCACCTAGCTTAGCTACTCAGGAGGGAGAGATCAGGAGGATTGCGGTTTGAAGCCAGCCCCAGGAAAATAGTTTGGGAGACCCTATCTCAAAAAAACTCATCACAAAAAAGGTTGGTGGAGTGACTCGAAGGGTTAAAGAATGCCTGCCTAGCAAGCATGAAGTCCTGAGTTCAAACCCCAGTGCTGCCAAAAAAAAAAAAAAAAAATCAAGTGGTCGCCATAGTTGGCAAAGTGCAGCCTCCTCTGCCTATGTGCCTGGAGTCTAGGAAAGTGGGAGCCAGAAAAGACTGGCAGTGACTGTGGAGCTGGACAGGGCTTTGGCATGAGGTGCCAACTCACAGACCCAAATGGACACTGTGTGGGAGAGGATGGCAAACAAAAACCCTTCAGCTCTGAAGGATATAAAACTACAGCAAACTCATTGGACCTTAAGGCCAAGGTCACTAGGAAAGACTGCAGACTGGGGCACGGCAGTCAATTACATGGCTCTTTCCAATTCTCAAAAGCATTCCCATCCAATTCCATACTAAGTCCCCAAAGTCACCCTTCCAGGAGGAAACCAAGGCACCTCTCACCAGCAGCCTCTTCCCTGACACCCCAGATCCTGGGCTATATGCCTAACCTTGGCTCTAACTGGCAGAGTAAGGTTTGCAGAGCATGAATCTGATCATACTTGTCTTTAACTTAAAACCAAAGGCTCAGCATGGATGTCAGCATAATGAGGTCCCCAAGGACCATGTGGCTGACCACTGCTGCATTGAATGTCGTTCCTTATCAAGAGGTTCAGATAGTTCTATACAACCACCGGCAGCACACAGCATTCCTCTCCCCTTTATTTCCCCCTTCCTTCTTTTTTCTTCCGTTTCTCTCTCTTTTTCCCTCTCTCCTACAGATCTTGATACCCAGGAAGATTCTACACATCCCTCAGGACCCCACGTAGAAATCACCTCCCCAAAAAACTTAATAGCCCCAGTTCTGAGCTCCTAGTACCGTGCTGACCTGTCCTGCCTGTTTCTTTTTCCTTCTCTTCCACACACCTGTGGACTCTTTGGAAGTAGGGCCATGTCTCATTCACCCCTTGAAGATGCACAGTAGGCACCTAATATTTGTATAAATAAATTAGCCCCCAAGAACATAAGTGAGTTGTCTAAGGCCAGAGAGCCAGGGCAGATGGGGCTGGGAGTCACTGTGGCATCTTGGGCTCCCAAAGCTCAGGACTTCCCGCTGGTCTGGCTCACTGTATTCACCCTGGGCTGTTCTTGTCATGCTGGTTTTGAGGGAAGAAGAAACTGGGGAGGGCCTGGGAGAGAACGGTGGGATGTTGAGCACTGAAGAGACAAAGGACTGAACCAAGAAGATGACAAACTGCCACCGGCTAAGGGATGCAAACTGAACGTGCGCACTCAGCTGACAAGGACAAGAGCTCTAGCTGGGGCCATAAGCATTTCATGTCAAGAGATGCTGATCTGGGCTGGGGGCGTGGCTCAAGTGGTAGTGTGCCTATTTAACAAGCCTGAGACTCTAAGTTCAAATCCCAGTACTAATGAAAGAGACAGAGAGACAGAGAGAAGGAGAGGTTGATCTTCTCTCCCCCATCCCATCTAGGATCTCATAGCCAGAGCTCCAAACCAACCTACAGAAATAAATCTGAAATGGTCCCCCAGCTGAACATAAATTGGGTACTACACACCACCCAGCCATAGATGATCTACCCAACATGTCCCCAAACATTCCCTCACTGGTATCACTCCCCAGAATGACATAGCAGGCCAACTGAGGGGCAGTTCTAGGAGGCAGAACTGTGGAGGGCTTACGCTCAAGACCCTAGTATCCTAGGTATCCCCAGTGGCAAAAGACAGACTGGCAGGGCCGGCCCAGATCTTTAGGGTTGTCATAACAGGGGGGTCAGAGTGGACCCTCATAACAAAGAAGGTGCCATATGTGGAGAGGTATTCCAGATTTCTAGACCCTGCTAGACAGGGAAGAGAGAGGGTAGACAAGAAGTCTACTTAAGATGCAGACACAAAGTGGAAATAGGGCACTCCAGGCTAGCACCTGGAATAAGAAGAAAAGGGGACCTGGTTTCTGATCCCAGCTCATAGTATTTAGGCATCAGGAATTAGTCACTGAATAGTTTTCCCTGGTGCTAGGGATACAGCCATGAGCCAGCAGGACACATAGACTGCCTTAATATAACCTGCAGTCTACTAAGAGGATGTGACTGATAAAACCACAAATACAACTCCTTTCTGAGCTTTGTGATCCTGAGGAGTCTCTCATCCTCCCAAGCTACAGCTTCCTTATTTGTAAGAAACTCTTGTTCTTTTGTCGGTACCAGGGTTTGAACTCAGGGCTTTGGGCTTGTGAGGCAGGGGTTCTTCCACTTGAGCCAAGCCTTCGGCCCTTGCTTCCTTATTTGTATCATGAGATGAGAACAGTGCTTTCCTCAAAGGACTGTTATAAAAATTAAATGAATTCCTTGTAACAAAAACACACAAACAAACAAAATACTACTGCCATCACCACCAACAATAATAACAACAGGACTGGTAAAATGGCTCAAGTAGAGTTCAAAAACCCTAGTCCCACCAAAGTGGGGGGAAAAAGGCGTAGCAATTGTTCTTCTCATGGTCTGTGGTTTGCATATTGCTCTAGGAGCTTGCTTTGGGTATCTGAAGAGCTATTTCCCATATTAACATGTGATTAATGGCAACAGGACCCATACATTATGTCCAATCCACTAAATACCCTATGAGGTGGAGATAATCATGCTGGATTCTGAGACTGGGAAACTGTAACCTAGAAAAGTTAAATCACTTGATGAGGTCTCACAGTGGGGGAGGACCTCAAGCAATCAGTGGATCTCAATCATCCCTTCTCTTACACTCATGCATACAAGCATGCAAAACTATCCCCCACTCCTCAGTTGTTTACTGTTGTCATTTCCTGTTACTGACTCTGAAGCGCAATCATAATTAGCAAATGTGTGTCACATGCTGAAAAATACATAATAGCTCCTAGGGGAGAGGATGGGGACTTAGTCACTGGTATACCTATTATTTAACTAATAATCTACACAATTTATTCTGTAATAGGACACAGCACTGATAAGCTCAAACAGAGCAAGACTTCAGGAAAAACTGAAAGGTCAAGATCTTTATATTCTATAGAAATAAAGCTCCTGATTTTGGCAATGATGGTCCTGCTTGAAATCTGTGGTCCTCTGGTTCCCAGGACAGCTCTGATCTGCCCCACCCAGGGCAGGAGAATACAGGACACCTTCTCTACTTAGAAGAGCTCAAAAAAGCAGGCAGTGGGACAAGGACACTTCCCTGAATGCCGTATGTCTGAATGGGAGCACCAAGACTAGGCTTGGCTGTGCAGGACATACAAAGACTAGGTTCAGACAGAGGCTGGTGATGGGTGGAGACAGCGCTACTAACTGACCTCACCCTGAGTCTGAAAGGCCCAGTTTCTACTCTTCATCCCTCAGGCTTTCCCTGGTTACTCAACAGAAACACTGCTCCTGCTCCTGCTGGATTCTTCCAGCAGCCACTCTTCCTTCACATGCGGCTACCAATCACATAATGCTCTCCCTAGCTGTCCTTAGTTCATTCATTCACTTCATTCAATAAATGAAACAATGGCTCTGAGTTAGGCACTGATCTGGTAGTTAACCTTGCCAGGAGAGGAGAGGTAGATCCCTGCCTTCATGAAGCTCACAGGCTAGTGGTGGAGGCAGAGAGGCAAGTGCTATGAAGGAAACGTAGGAGGATTGAGAAAGAGACAGTCAGGTAGAAAGACTTCACAAAAGGCTTCTCTGAGGTGATATGGGCTCTTAACAAAATAATAAATGTCCCACATTTGTACTCTCTAGTTCCAATAGGCATGATGGCAGGGATGGTATAATTTTCTGAAGGTGTTCTTTTACCTCAGTTAACATTCCAGGACAATGATCTGATCTGGTGATGGCCTGGTGAGCAAATGACCCTACCTGACACATTCCTTTAGTGATCTGGCAGCAGCAGCAGCAGTAGCAACTAAGCCCAAGACCAGCAGCCTCCAGAAGCATTTTTTTTTCTTTTTTATGGAATGCTTCATAATTTTGTGTGTCATCCTTGTGCAGGGGCCATGGTTGTTCCAATTTTAGCATATGTGCTGCTGAAGTGAGCACCCCCAAAAGCATTTGATCTAAGAGTTGTCTATGGCTCAGAGCCACAGAGCCCAATGACACAGGAGTGCAGGTGTCCTGAACAGTCTGTCCACTTAAGAGCCCCAGTCCCTCATTTATAAAGCAGGGATAAGATATCTTTCTCCAGGCTTGCTGTGAGGAGTCAATGAAGTGATGCTTGGCATGGTACCCAGTCAAGTGTTTGCCAGATTCAGTATCACACTGCTCACTCCCCTCCTGGGCTGTTAGCTCCCTGAATAAGGACCTACCCACAGGGAGAAGCTGTTCCTCCTTCATGTCCAAATCCCTAGGATGGGCAATCTACCACCTTGGTTGAATGACTGAGACTAGAAAACAAATCTCTCACTCCTTAACTCTTACCTGCCCAACATTGAAGGTCAGTGTGATGGCATAAAAGAAATTAGAATTGGCACTTCCTGCATAGATCCAGAGGTGCCAAAGAACAGGGAAGAGCAGGGAGCAGACGATGATGATGCAGGCAAGGACAAAGATGTTCCGCAGGACTGCAAAAACAAATAGTCACAGTTAGCCCAGCACTTTTTCTCTGGCATCTTCTTGCTGGGATGGTCCCATAGGACTGAGGCCAGGGAGCAGCTCACATGGCTCAAATGTAAAGCACTCCAAGAGGTATGGGGTACTAGGAGGCAAACTGAGTCAATGGCTCCCCACGCCCACAACTTGTGGGAGCTCCTACATTTGGAGTGTTTCCTCTCATGTGAGATTGGCTGGCCAAAGATCAGCTACAGTCAATTATTTCATGGATGCATCTGGGCTCAACAGAGGCCATTTCAGGAAAACAGCCCTAAAGCTTCCAACCTCAGTGTGTCCTTACATGGGTGCTACCTGGCTATATAGGTTCATGGGTGGGGATTGTAGCATGAACCAGGGAGATCAGAGAACCATAAGGTTCTCTGTGGTACCACAAGCCTGGCATCTTAGGAACACAGTTTCCATTCTCCTTAATTGGTGTCCCATGTGCTTGCCTTCCTCTTCAAATGTCCCTCCTTAGATGATTTACGAATCTTTTGCTTTCTTTTTGCTTTATTCTGTGATTCAACACAACTCTCTTTTTTAAATCTTCCTCTGTAATATTACTCCCTGCTCCAGAGGGAATGCTGAGGCCCTCCAGGGAGGACATGCTACCCAAGAATGGTCTCTGGACAGGCAGGCAGAGTCCCGCTGGATGGGAAGGCAGACAATGGCTGGGTACAGACTTGGTCTTTGGAGAAACCTTAGTTGAAATCCTGCTCTGTGATTAGCAAGTTTCTCTTAGTATCTTTATCTCTAAAATGGGGCTACAATGCCTATTCACAGGCATCTTAAGTGGATTAAATAAGGTATGTGAAAGCTGGGGATGTATCTCAGTGATAGAGTACTTTTCTCATATGCACAAGGCCCTGGGCACCCAGGGTTGCGGGGGGGTGGGCAGTGAGGAGGAAAGAAGAAAGAAGAAGGAAGAGGGAGAGGAGGAGGAGGAGGAGGAGGAAGAAAGAAGGAGAAGAAAAGAAGTGAAAGTTGGGCAGAAGACTGAGGCTGGAGGATTGCAAGTTTAAGGATAGCTTAAACTTTCTGAGTTTAAGCTATCTCATTTCAGAAAACAACAAACAAAAAGATACATGAAAAAAACTGGCATAGATATATTATTTTGTACGTTAGTTTTCTATTGTTGGTATAATAAATTCCCATAAACTTAGTGCTTAAACAATACAATGTATTATACAATAGTTCTGGAGGACAGAAGTCCAAAATGGGTCTCCAAGGCTGCAATAAAGGTCTGGGCAGGGCTTTGTTCCTTTTGGATCCTTTCAGAAAGAATCCACTGGCTTGCCTTTTCTAGCATGTGAGGGCTGCATGCATTCCTTGGCTCATGACCCCCTTCCTGCTTCAAAACCAGCACTGATGGATTAAGGCTTCTCACAACGCATCACTCTGACTCTGCACCTTCTGATTTCCTTCTTCCACTTCTTTTTTTTTTTTTTAATACTTCATTTTTTTTAGAGCAGTTATAGGTTCATAGCAAAACTGAGCAGCAGGTTCAGAGATTTCCCATATGCCCCCAGCCTCTATCTCTTCCACTTTTAGGGATTCTTCTGATTACACTGGGGTCACCTGAATAATCTCCTCTTTCTTAAGATCCTAATTTAAAGTACTTTTTGCAAGTAAGGTGACATATTCACAGGTTCTGGAAATTGTGAGGTGAACTCTTTGAGTGGTGAGGAGAATTATTCTGCCCATCACATGGTGCTTTTTTTTCTTTTAATTCAGAAGGGATAATCTCACAGAATATGTTGTTTTTATCTTTTATCTCTCTTTATACTGTACTATATTTAAAAAGCAATAAATATTATTTAAAATAAATCAGAATAATCAAAACAATCAGCTACAAGTCATTCATATACTTTCTTTGGCGGTGCTGAGGTTTGAACTCAGGGCCTACATCTTGAGCACTTCACCAGTCCTTTTTTTGTGATGGGTTTTTTTCAAGACAGGGTCTTGGGACTATTTGCCGGGCTGGCTTACAAACTGCAATCCTCCTGAGAAGCTAGGATTACAAGCATGAGCCACAGGCACCTGGCCTGTTCATTCTTTAATGAGGAATGACAGGTGCCTTTTTGTTATTGTTGTTGAAAAGTCCTTTTTTTTTTTTTCTATTAAATGGGGATAAATGACTACTAGTTGATTGTTTTAATGATTTCAGCAAAATAAAAAGTTGCCAACTGTTACCAGGTCTGAAAAATCCCATAATTTGGATGCTAGCCTGGAGGCCTGCAAGGTCTCATATCTTCTCCCACTCCTCTTCTTTTTTCAGTGCTGGAGATTGAACACATGCTAGGCAAATACTCTACCAATGAGTCACACTCCCAGCCCCAGGTCCTCTTTTCTGACCGGAAATTTCTATGGTTCTGGATTATCAAACTTGAGAGGCCAAAGCCCTGACTCAGGCCTCCTGAGACCTCCCAGGGAAGCCTCCGTCTCTTTCCCTGCTCTCAGGAGTAAGGAGCCAGAGAAAAGGGGTATTTGCACTGAGAATTATTATTGTTGTTATTAAGCAATGTTACAAACTCAAGAAAGATCTGCTTACAGATCTGCAACATCACTATTTTCATTTCTCAGTGGTTCTTTCTCATCTCCTGGAAATTCTTTTGCTAGAAAGAACACACACTATTCCAAGAAAAAAAATTCATGGGACCTGATAGCACAGATGGTTCTTGGTCCTGTTCCTCTAGCCAAAGATGGAGGCTTCAGACAGAGTAACAGGGAGGAGACCAAGTGCAGAGATGAGAGAGGCTTACATGCAATATGTGGGCTGCAAAAAGACATTCCCATGTGTTTGGAGGATCGTCACTAGTATCCAGTTGGCTTCAGGACAGTGGTGACCTTTGCATGAAAAGGGAGCTGCTACTCACACTTGCTGGCTGACAGGCTGGAATATTAAAGCTATATGCCAGAGCAAATGGAACTGGAGACCCGAGACACAGGACAGCTTGTTCCAGGGACCAGGAGTCATAAGAGATGACCAGGGCATAACAAGATGAAAGGACTCACCCTTCATCAGACCTGCTAGGCAAGATGGAGTCAGGTTCCTCACTACATTCACTGGGTGGCTTATCCAATCTCTGACACCACCATTGATGAACCGGGACTTCTGGAAGTCCCTTTCTCTCTCTGAGTCTCAGGCATTCAGAAATAAAATGTCACTTGAAAAATCTGGTCCCATCAGGAGGCATGTAGGAGAGATTAGGGTCTTCAAAGGTAAAAGTGATACTTCCTTTCTTAAACTACAAGACAGGTATATTAGAACTTACTATATAGTTATTCTTTATAATTTATTTGTATTTTGTCAATATTCTTTTACCTCTATACAACAGTCAATAAAAACAAAACAACAGAACTCCAGCCCTGTGGTAGCTTGCTCTGCAGCTGGACCACTGCAGGATAGCACCAGCTCCACTAGCAGGCTGCTCCCTACACTGCAGGTGTGCGTCTGCCTGACTTATTTTGGCTTCAGGCTTCAAAGGACAGCATCTAGAGCCCTGTTTCTTTTCCCTCCCCATCAGTAACCAGTACAGGAAAACAAAAACACCATGTGAGAGCAGGCACATTAGCACTAGAAACTGGTGTTTAAACTGGATTCTTACATTAAATATTTTCAACTAGGTCAAAAAACCTAGTCTGTCCTCAGGAGTCCTGAGGCCCAAGGCTGAAGATGCTTGTAGCTGAATATAATGACTCACAGTTGTGAGGTCCCTAACAGGTGCTGTAAACATGAGTACTCTCTCCTGCAGGTGTGGTACAGCAAAGACTGGTGGTCACTGTTCTCTGCAGGAGCTTCAGGCAAGCTGAGTCTATAAACTCTTTACACTCAACTACTCATCAACAGCCTTTATTAGATCATCCAAGTTTCTGGAAACCCCATCTTCCTTCTCTGTCTTATCACCCCTGAGGGTATGAAATAGCTTATTTCAAGTTGTGAAAAATATGTTTATTTCAATCACTGGCTGTCAAGGCCAAAGCTTTGATAATGGAGATATGCAGGGGACTCCCCAGCATAATTATTACTGATAGTGATAACTACAGTGCTGTTGACATAAAAATCCCTGAAAGATACTTTTTTTTTTTTGAGACAGGGTCTCTAAGTAGCCCAGGTTAGCCTGCTTCAGCTTCCCAAATGTTGGGGTTACAGGTGTGCACCACCTGGCTTATTCTCATCATTTGATGGACTGAAAAGCCAAAGGCTCAGAAAGGATAAATGATTTGCCTAGGATGACATAGCTAGTGCTGGGAAAGTCAGGATGAAGGCTCAAGTTGGTAAGTCTACAGACTGTGGACAGTGGGATGAGAGATACTGAGGAGAGGCAGTGCCCTATGATGGACAGTCAGCTAAGGAAAAACAATCTGCTTTTAGGAAAAAAGAACAATGTCTCCAAGACCCACCCTTCACAGACTGGAACATGTCCCTATGTTTTGGTAGCCTCATGGTTTGTCACTGGCCACTCTGCCAAGAGGCCCCAAGCTGATTCTGAGCACAACAGACTATGTAATGAGGATGTCACAGGGGGTATGCTGTTTCTTCCTCCCAGTCAGCTCAGACTGGTCACCACCCCACCAGACACAGGGTAATCACTTGCAGGAGCAGGCTGGGTTTGGCCCGCCCACTCAGCTGTTTGCCTTCACCCAGAGGCCCACACTTACAGGTAGGTTTCCTACTGGAAGCTGGTTAGTTTCACCTCCTGGTTGATACCGAGACAACCCCAAAACAACAAAGACTCACTTCCTCTGGAGTCTGCACTTCTGAGTTCATTACTGACACCTTGCTGTGCACCATAACAAGTGAGAAAAGTTCAACAGCTCCCTTCCCTGTTCTATGGTAGAGAATCAGGTGGGTCACTGACACTGCCTCCTTCTTAGAGAGACTTAAATAGACACCTCCACAGACATCTTTTGATTCTTCAGTGTCAGGCTCCATCCTGGGTGCTAAGGACACACAGGCAAAGGAGTCATGATATCTTTGCTAAGGGGGCCCCCAGATACTGAAAAGAATCATCAGAGAGGACTAAAAGCCTAAAGGAGAGAAGCACTGAGGGGTCTTAGGTAACACAGGACAATTTTGAGGGGGGCATGGGCAAAGATAGAGGGATCTTCATAGGAAGTAGTAAGTCTTGTGTCACTCACCAGTCTCTAAGTACCTTTGGATGAAGCACTGGAGAATGGTTCAGGCCCAAGGCTAGAGTTGCACTGCCCAATATGGTAGCCTAGCCAGATATAGTTTCTTAAATTTGAATTTAAATGGAAAATTCAGTTTCTGGGTCACATTAGTGGCTACTCTATTGCACTATGCAGATATTGGGCATATCCATAATCATAAAAAGCCCTGTTAGACAGCAATAGACAGTGGCTCAAAGAGCTGTAGTCCAATCCCAGTCCTTCTACTTAGTAGTCATGCGACCTTGAACAAGAGGTTCTGCCTTTCTGTACTTCAGTTTTTCTCATCTGTACAATGGGGATACTTACCTCAAAGGCTGGTGTGAAGATAAAATGAGTTGATGGATATAACACTGTTAGAGAGCCACAATGGTCAGGTACAGAGTAAGTGTTCCATAAATGGTAGTTACATGTATTATCATCACTAGTCATAACACAACAAAGTACATATTATGCCTCAGGTCATTACCACTTTCCCAGTGCTGCCAGTACAGCAGGTATACAATGCATGCCTATAAATTTCTTTCTTCCTGGCTATTTCACCAAGGGGCCAGACTGACAAGATCTGCCACCAGTGGGAACAATCAGAGTACTCACATCTGTAGAGATGGTTCCACACAGGAAAGAAAGCCATGTAGAGGGCTACATCCCCCACTGTTGGGTAGGACTTGAAGATAGAGATGATGGCAATCTGGATGAACATGAAGAAGATGGGGTGCTCCCTGGGGCAGGGCAGGGGAAATAAACAGAGAGATCAGCCAGGGATCAGGCCCATCCCAGAGACTCCCAACCCTACTCTTCAAACCAAAAATACTCCCCCAAGGGACTTGAGACAGGGGCTGGCTTACAACTCACAGGCCTGGTTGGGCCAGGTCCCCAGCAGCAGAGAAGAAAACTATAGAGACCCAGAAATGCTCAGAGGTGGTGAGCAAGGCCCGACAAACACTAAAGAAAAAACCCATCAATAGCCACTCCCTGCCTCTTCTAGCTCTGGGCCTTCCCCTAGGAGCTATGAGGAAGAAAACAAATGAAGTCACCATTCCTTATTACCAGGCCTAAGTGACTGCTTGTCACAGAAATCAGGCATCCTTGCTCAACCAGAGGTCACTGTGACAGCAGGCCCTTGGGCAGAAAGTGCTCCTGGCTGATGCTTTGCTCACTGACAATTTGGTTAGTGGGGTATGTATACCCAAAGTGCCTCCTGCCTGATGCTTTGTTCACTAATAATATGGTCAGTGGGGTATGTATATCCTTAGTGTCCAGAAAGAGAACTCAGAGCTACATACAGCTCTTCAGCAACTAATGGGCTGAAAGTAGAATTGTTACCTTAAAAAAATAACAGCTGAAACTGTGATTTTAAAGTAATAACCAGCAATAGCAACAGTTATCATTTCCCGAATCCCACCCTGTGCTGAGTTCTGTGGGAAGGGTTTCCTGCACTATCTCAGGGGATCCCCTCAAGCATTCTCCGGACAAGGAATCCTGTCCCCTGTACTTCACAGATGAGGAAACTGAGGTTCAGAGACATGAAGTACATCAACTAAGTAAGCAGTGGAGTCGGCCGTCTCCAGAGCTCCTAACACCACCGTATGGCTCTCCTGAGTACTTAACAACTCTTCTCAGAGGACAGTGGGGAACAGGATTCAACCTCCAATGTTCCCCTGAGAGTAAAATGAGTGCTAAAGTAAGCAGGAAAAGGACAGATCTGTAACCTCCACACATAAACACATGGATGTGATCTACTTCTGCACAGAACTGGAATATGCCTGCTCATGAAGGCTGTTCTAAGAGGTCAAGTTTTCTAATGCCAGGACAATGGAACTACTTCCAGGACTTCTGAAAGACCTGTGTTCAGGAGCTTGGCACAGCATAAGGGGATGAGCACAGATTCTGGAGCAGATAAACCTGTGTGTGAATTTCAGCTCCACTGCTCACAGCTGGGTAACTCTGGGAAAATCGTTCTACCTCTTTGAGTATTGATTTCCTCATCTATAAAACAGGAGTGACAACAATAAGATAACGCCAACCTCTGTGAGTTGCTGAGTTAGTTGTAATCCTGTTTCAGGGAGCCTAGGAAAGGTGGAGATGGCTCAACATATACTGGCTCTCTTGTACTGCAGAGGAGAACTCCACAGACAACTCCATTTGAAGGAAACTGACCAGAAGATTAAAGAGCTGCAGGTGGCCAGCCTCTCAACTAACCCAACCTAAGACCCTCGGGACAAACAGGCCCCGGGCTGATGATCAAGGATATATACCAGATTCACTTTTTCCAAGACACCCCCAATACAACCCTTGCTCTTGTCCAAAATGGCGAGTGGGCTTTCCAGCGATGTGAGCTCAGACACCTCAAAGTGAGGCCAGGGGGATCCCAGGACTCTGAAATTCTCTCCCGGCAGCCTGTACTTGTGTATGACTCTCAACTGCTGGGTCTGAGGACAGAGTTCCTTGAGCAAAGATGCCATAAACCTGATGGCAAATGCTCCTAGTCTAAAGGGCACCCACCAGGCCATAGAAAGGGAAGAGGAAAGTGGGGGAAGGAAGGACAGAGTAGCAGCACTTACTTTAGCTTGATGGCTAAGGGAATGGTGTAGAAAAAGACGTTGATCTGAAACACGCAGACAAAGAAGAGGCTGAAGTGCTCAAACATCTCTGCAAAGAAGTACCAAAAAAGACCAATGTTTGGAGTAAGATCTGGAACAGAAAGTCTGGAATTAAGAAAACACAGGGAGAGAAAAAGAAAAAAAAAAAAGAGTAGAGTTACAAATGATCTCCTTTGGCCTTGTTTTCTACTGAAGACTTGGGTCACTGCTAGGCAGCCAAGGATGATTTCAGAGTGTGAAGGGCTCTCCAGGTACTCCAAATGTAGATACAAAAACAAGGGCACAAGACACAGAGAATGATAAACCATAATAAATACTAGCTAAATCAAATGCATCTGAAATAAGGCAGGGATTCATCTTGGAAATCAACAGAGCAACTCTTCTTTTCCTGCTCAGTATGGTTTATAATCAGGACCTGCCCAGTAAAAGAGGAAGGAAATTTAAATAAATAACATCTATTTTGGGCATTCCAGAGACCTGCCCAGAGGAAGAGGCACAGGCTCAGAGATCCTGCTCCTCCCCATTCTTGCTTGACATCCCCACAGCAGGGGCCAGAAGACTGTGTGCCTGAACCTACAGTGAGACCTCCAAGAGTTTCAGGAACCATCAGCAGGTTCCGCTAGAATCCCCAGGGTCCCAGAGCTCATTTGAGAATTTACAGTTTATCTGAAAGACTTTTTGTCTGGTTAAATCATACAAAAATTGGCTATTCTAAAAGTTTACATTATACACACGTAAATAAATAAATCAGTATTTGTATAAAATGTATCTCTCAGTGTTGGGGATTGAACCCAGGACCACCAGCATGCTATGCAGGTGCTCTACCATGAAGCTACATCCCAAGTCCTACATTATATATATATATATTTTTTTTTTTTAACTTTTTTTTTTTTTTCAGAACTGGACCTTGAACTCAGGGCCTCATGCTTGCTATGCAGGCATTCTACCACTTGAACCATGCCCCTAGCCCCTGTATTTTTAACTGAAAACAATGAAGAGTTTAAGGACTGGGGAAATGACTCTAGTGGTACAGCACTAGCCTAGCAAGCACAAAGCCCTGCATTTAAACTCAGTAACACACACACACACACACACACACACACACACACACACACACACACACACACACACACGTTAAAATAAAGAGTTTAAATTGGTCTCCATTCACACCTTAAAAGGACACAAATGGAAAAGACAGTCTGAGGCCTTTGCCTAAGGTAATTCTTTGTCTCCTGCACCAACTATATTTCCTTTTCTGAAATTAAAAAAAACAAACAAACCCAAAAAACAAAAAACAGAATCTTCCGCCTAGTGGAAAGCCAGGAAATATTCTTCACCAGGCATCACAAACTCCCATCCAAGGTGGACCATGAAGAGTTCAATGTGATTTGAGTTATTGTTATGATTAGCTAGGATTTAACACAAGGAAGCAGCCCAGAGTCCCAAATAGGAGTTCTGCCACTCCTGATCCCTTCACCATGCTGACAGGTTTAAGTGTCTGTCACCCACTGGGCTGTGAGTTTCTCAAGGCTGGCAGAGTGGCTCAAGTGGTAGAGCACCTGCTTAGCAATCGTGAGGCTATGAGTTCAAATCCCAGTACCATTTAAAAAAAAAAACCAAACAAAGAAATAGATTTTTAAGGCTTAAGTATCAACCAGGTCCTTAGCACCCACACAAAGCCTGGCACATGAAGAACATTTGAAAATGTTTGCAGAATTCATGAATACATACTCATGCAAACTTGCAATATTGCAGACCTATCTGGATTTTCTCTAAATGTCTGACACATGGCAGGTTGTATTTACATTAAAACTGTCAGGGACCCTCTTGCAATAAAGAAATATATCCATTCCTATTTGGAATTAAACTCATACCTCCCAATCAGAGGCTGGTAGTTGCTTTGGATGTTTCTAAGAAATACTCTTTAATCCTACTAATCAAAGGTGTGCTCTAGAGCAGAGGCTCTCAAAGTATGCTCTGTGGACCAGTAGCAGCAGCACCACCTGAAAACTTGAGAAATATAAATTCTTGGTTTCTACCTCAGACCTACTGTATCAGAACCTCAGGGGCTGGGTCAGCAACATGAGTTTAACAAGGCTTGAAGGGGCTCTGAGGCACCCGAAAGTTTAAGAACCCCTGCTGTAGATGATGCCCAAAGTCCTCTCCCTCTGCTTCCAGCAGAAGCTATGAAAACAAATTAGCTTCCAGAATTTTCTAATGAGGTCTTTACTTACATGAAGCCATAGACTGCAGGGATGAAATCCCAGGAGCTGAGAAGGAAGAAGGAGAGGCAAACTATTACCACTAGGCTTCCCACATACATCGTGGCATACTCCCAAGAGAGGGTCCAGAAGGCTTTGCTCTTCATTTTCACAGGTATGTACTGCCGCTAGGAGTGAGAAGACAAGAGGACATTTAGGGATGCCAAGGACAGGGAGAAGTTATCAGCTTATACTTAAAGATTCCTCATATAAAACCATCCCTTGATGCACAGGCTTACATTTTTTTGCTGTATCTTTTTGTTGTTTTGGTTTTTGCGATAGAGTCTCACTAAGTAGTATTTGGAAATGAATTTGCAATCCTCCTGCCTCAGCTTCCCAAGTGCTGAGATTATAGGCTTGTGCCACTCCACCCAGCTTTTGCTCTGTCTTTAATTAAACCAGAAGGACATAAGCATTTAAAAAAGGTGTCAGGTACACATCCTTTGAACTGAGACCTAATAAAACCATTCCAGGTATGTATCCTGGAGACATGTTGCATAAGAAACAATGAAAGAATATTCACTAAACCATGAATCCTTCAGTAGAGGAAAAAATAAATTGTGGTACAATGGTATAATGACACACTATTTAGCAGGTTACATGAATAAACTGCATCTACGTATGTCAATACAATTGAGTCTCAAAAACATAAGGTTAGACAAGGTGTGATGGCTCACATCTATAATACCAGCACTTTTGAGGCTGAGGTAAGAGGATCACAAGTTCAAGGCCAGCCTTGGCCACATAGTGAATTTGAGGTCAGCCTGAACTACATAGTGAGACCCTGTATCAAAAAAAAAAAAAAAAAAAAAGGTAAGTTATAACAGAAAATTGCCAATCCATGTAAAATGAAAATGTTTATGCAATATTTTGAGGTTATACCAAACAATTCTATGTATTATTCATAGACATATAGGAATATATCTGTAAAAGTTTTATAAACCACAGATTAGGATACATAGTAAAGTCATAATAGCATTAGCCTCCCAGAAAGGAGAGAGGAAAACATGATTTATCTATAGTGCTTATAAAAAAATATGTCAAAAGTAAATATGAAACAATATGGCAAAAACCTTCATTTTTTTTAACTCTGTGTAGTAGCTATGGTTATTATTACACTATTTTCTGTATTTCCTCCTCCATTAATATATTTTTTTCCTCAAACAAAAAGATGCTGGGGTAAAGAAAAATAAGAGATATCAAAAAATAAAAACCACAACCAACAACCAAAACTGAATCCTTGGAATATACAAGAAAACAGAAATGAATTCAAACATAAGAAAACAAATTAATTCAAACTTTATAATGGAATCATATGAACCAAACTCTAAAACCATATTATCAAGAAAAAAAATTAATTATACAAAAAAATCAGCTATTCAGCTACATGCTATTTATAAGGCAGACACTTTAAAATTCAAGACAGAAAAGCTGAAAAAATCAAAGGACTGGAAAAGACACATCAGGTAGATATCAATGCAAAGAAAGTATGTATATTTATTGTTACTGGATAAAATACAATTTTATGTAAAAAAGATTGCAGAGACAAAGATAGTCTATAATAATAAGATTCAATTCATCAAAAATATATAACAATCCTAACCTTGTATGTAACTAATAATATAGTCTCAAAACATACTATTAGGTATTATTAGGTACATATAAGTTATCTATGGTAACAGAAGACTTTAATATTAGAAATTAAGTCATGAAATACCTCATATCACTCTTTGTGAAATGAAGATAAAAACAGTATTCCAAGGAAAAGATACAATCTTAAAAATTTATACTATAATAGAAAAGACTGAGAATAAATAAACTAATGAGTCACTTTAAGATATTAAAGCAACAGAATAAATCCCCAAAGAAAGGAGTAAGAGCAGAATTTGTTGAAACAGAAACAAAGTTGTATTATGAGGAAGCAACAAAGCCTCATTTAATCTCATTAAAATTGACTAATGAGAGTGATGTCTGAAAAGAATGATCACAAAGAGTGGGAGGGAGGCAGGGAATGAAGGAGGGAAGGAGGAAGGAAGGGAGAAGAATGGAGGGAGAGGAAGGGAGAGAGGGAGAGAATGAGTGTGGGAGAGAGAAGAACAAATAAACAATATCAGGAATGTAAAAGGGTACAATGTACCCTTAGATGGATATATCAGGGATGAGAAATACAATATGGCTGGATGCAGTGGCACTTGCCTGTCATCCCAGCTAGGTGGGAAGCAGAAATAGGAGGATCATGGTCTAATAAGCCCAGGAATAAAGTGAGACTCTATACAAAAAAACAATTAACACAAACAAGGCCATAGGGTGTGGCTCAAGTATAGAGTGCCTACTTAGTGAGACAAGGTTCTAAGTTTAAACCCCAGTACTGCTCCCTGCCAAAGAAATACAATATGGCTGAGTGTTGGCTCATACCTATTATCCCAGCAATTTGGGAATCAGAGATCAGGAGAACTATGGTTCAAAGCCATCCCTCATCAGACAAGTTGGATGTTGTGGTGCACACCTGTAATCCTAGCTATTCCGGATGTGTAGGTAGGAGGATCACAGTTTGAGGCTGGCCCCAGGCAGAAAGTGTAAGACCCTATCTGAAAAGCAGTGCAAAGCAAAAGGGCTGGGGACATAGCCTACCAAGAGCAAGGGCCTCAAATTCAAACCCCAGTACCGAAAGAAAAGAAAGGGAAGGAAAGAGCAGGGCAGGAGGGGAAGGGAGGAAGTAGAGGGAGGGAGGGAGGGAGGGAGGGAAGGAAGGGAGAAAGGAAGGAAGGAAGGAAGGAGAAAGGGAAGGAAGGAGAGAGGGAAGGAGGAAGGAAGGAAGGAGAGAGGGAGGGACGGAGGGAAAAAGAGGGAAGGAAGAAGAGAGGGAAAGAGGGAGGGAAGGGGAGGGAAGGGAGGGAGGGAGGGAGGGAGGGAGGGAGGAAGGAAGGAAGGAAGGAAATCTTATGCCAGAAGCCAGGCATGGACGCACACAACTATAATCCTAGAACTCAGGAAGCAGAAGCAGGAGGATATCAAATTCTAGGCCAGCATCAAATAGCATGTTTAAGGACAGTCTTGGCTATACAGCAAGACCCTGCCTCAAATGAACCAAAACCAAAAAAAGGAAAAAAAAAACTTATACTAATGTGTTCAAAAGCTGTGGTGAAATGGAATCATTCTATGAAGAATATAAATAAGAGATTCAATTAAAACATGCCAATGTCATTTTTTTAAAAAAAGGCAGAGATCAAAGAAGATAAAAATGAAATTTAACAAATGATCCTCAATTAGATTCTCCCCCCAAATCCTATAAAGGTCATATATAAATTGGAGAATTTGAATTTGGAGTATACACATTACATTATTCTATGAAGGTTAAATCTTGGGTGTGATAATAGTATACGCAGAGAGAAAGAGAAAGAGAGAGAGAGAGAGAGAGAGAGAAAGTCTCTATACCTACATAGATGTAGATTGTATGGTGAAATTATAACTGAAAAAACTAAAAAAAGTTTTCCATTCATCCAACTTTGCAGAAAGCATGAAATAAAAAATTAGGGACAAACTAATTCAAGGGGGAACAAATTTTGAATGGTTCTATAACCGCTAATTTTTCATTAGTAATAAAAATTTTCCCACAAAGAAAGCACACTCAGCCAGTTTGACAGGTAAGTTCTACCAACATTCAAGAAGTAGGTGATTCTGGCCAGGTGTCAATAGTTCACACCTGTAATTTTAGCTACTTGGGAGGGTGAGATCAGGAGGATGGAGGTTTGAGGCCAGCCCAGGCATATAGTTTCTGAGACCCTCTAAAGTGATCAGAACAAAATGAACTGGAGGTGTGGCTCAAATGGTAGAGTGCCTGCTTTGCAAGTTTGAATCTCTGAGTTCAAACCCACGTTCTGCCAAAAACTGGTAGATGATTCTAATTTTACATTAACTCCTTCAAAGCAGACACTGTAAGTTCATACCAAAACCACTTACCAACACAAATGTAAAAATGCTAACTGAAATTTATCTCTATAATTCAGCAATGCATGAAAAAAAGAGCATGATAAAGTTGGGTTATGACCAGGTTGGGTTTATTCCAAGGTTAATTCAACATAAGGAAAGCTGTTATTTTATGTATCTCAAGCAGCATAAAGAAATCATATTAATATCTTGATAGCTGTAGAAAAGTAAAGAAATTCAGTAACTACTCACGATAAAAAATAACTTAAATAAAAGATTTCAGTGAAGTAGCAGGATATGAAATTAACATACAAATAGTGTTAATATGAATACATATTAAATGATTAGAGGACACAACAGTAAAGAAAACCACATATAAAATAATAGGAAGGAAAACATTGATAAGGAAAAACTATGAAGTGGAGCCTAACGCTATCAGACATTTAAAAAGCACTTTAAAAATCTCTATAAATTAAATAGTCCAGAACTGGCACATTAGTAGAAAAACACTATGCCAAAACATTTATGGCAATTTAGTATATGACAAGGTGTTACATTATTGTGATAAACAGAAATTTTTTAATCAATGGAGCCAGGATAACTAGATAACGATTTGAAAAGATAAAATGGAGCCTGTATCTCAGATCATTTACAAGAATAAATGTCAAATGGATTAGGGAATCTAAATATTAAAACAAAATAAAGCCATGAAGTACTAGCAATAAAACACGGTGAATTCATTTCCTCCCCTCACTCCATGTCTCCTATTCATAACATAGACCAGGCACAGGACCTGAACTGAGGTATATATTGGGTAGGTTTACTTTGCCTCCCCTTTCTACACAGTCAGTGTAAGAACACAGCCTGTGGTAAGTACTAGGAGGTTAGTGAATTCATTTTCAACCTTGATGCACAGAAAAACTCAAAATCCAGAAGCAGTATAGACTGATTAGATTTATTTTTATTACATAAAAATAAAAAGTCAGCCAGGCTCTGGTGGCTCATGCCTGTAATTCTAATTACGTGGGAAGCTGAGATTGGGAGGATCACCATTCAAGACCAGTCAGGGGCAAAAAGTCCACAAGACCTGCATCTCCAAAATAACCAGAGGAAAATGGACTGGAGGTGTGGCTCAAGAGGCAGACTGTCTGCTTTGCAAGTGTGAAGCCCTGAGTTCAAACCCTAACCCCAACAATAAATAAATAAATAAATAACATAAAAAATCTCACATGACCAAAACACCACAGACAAAATGAAAATATAAGTACTTACAAAAACTTGTATGTGAGGACCAGGAGTCTGGCTCAAGTGTTACAGCACCTGCCTGGCAAGTGCAAGGAAGCCCTGTGTTGAAACTCCAGTACCACCTCCTCTGAAAAATAGGAATGGTAGAGCATTTGCCTACCAAGCATGAGACCCTGAGTTTAATTCCCAGTACCAACACAAACAAATAAAACAACTTGTATGTGAGTGTTCATAGTCCAATAAGCATAATAGCCAAAAAGAGTAGAAAAAAAAAAACCCAAATGCCTATCAACTGATAAAAGGATGAATAAAATATCTCATATCAATATATGGTAATAAAAAGGAATGAAGTACTATTATAGATTGAGCATCCCTCATCTGAAGATCTAAAATGCCCTGAAATATATTTGGATTTCAGTTTAGGGAAAACAAAAATAATTTCAAAAGTCCTGAATGAGAAAAGACTGAGGAACTGTATCAAATGAGGAGACACAACCAACTAAATGCAATGTGGGACCTTGAAATGAAAACAACTGCCTTAATAGAAAAGTTCAAAATCTGCCATTCACTATGAAAGTTAGCAAAAGTGTTGATGATACTGAAGTACTGATGGCAGCCCCCACAGAGTGTGGCTAGAGGACCACTATAAAGTTTGGAATCTTCATTAAGGTCGTTTGTTAACCTTAAGTTGAGGCTGAAGCTAACTGGTACATGTATAATATCAGATGGCCTATGCAGAGGTATTTTAAAATAAATTATAGGGATCATGGCCCCATGGTAAAGACATCAAGGATAATGGGATGTCAGAGAAGAGTTTTAAGCTGGAGATAGCATCACTATTACAAGATGTTAGGGAAAAAGAACCTGATCCACCCTATGGTTCCTCTCTAACTGCACATCTACGTAACTCTGCTTTGTTTTCTCTTTAAAACTGTGCTGGGCTGGAGGTGTGGCTCAAGTTCAAACCCCAGTACCCAAAAAAACAAAACCTGTGCTATCCCTAAGCTACATGTGGCTGTTTAAAATAATGCAAAATTAATATAATAAAAAATTCAGTTCCTGGCCAAGCACCAGTGACTCACGCCTATAATCTTAGCTACTCAGGAGGTAGAGATTAGGAGGATCACGGGGTTCGAAGTCAGCCCAGGCAAATAGTTCGCCACCCCTATCTTGAAAAACCCTTCACAAAAAATAGGATTGGTGGAGTGGGTCATGGTGAAGGCCTGAGTTCAAACCCTGTACAACAAAAAAAAAAAAAAAAAGAAAAAGAAAATTCAGTTCCTCGATCTTACTAGCACATTTTAAGTGCTCAATAGCCACATGAAGCTTTTAACTACTGCATTGGTAATGCAGATAAAGAACATTTCCATCATCACAAAAGGTTCTACTAGATAACACTGCTCTGGAATATTGAAGTTTTCACAGTCAAACCCCTTTGTACAATTTATGTTAATAGTTTTTTTTTAAACAGAATGAAGTTTCAAGAGAATGATACATTTCTATACCACTTTGTTTGGTTTTTTTTGAGGTACTGGATTTAAACTCAGGGTTTTGTGCTTGCTAGATAGGCTACTTGAGCCACACCTCCAGCGAGAATGATACATTTCTGAGAATGGAAATAATTCAGCATGACAAGAAATCTACAGATAAATGAAAAGAAGAAAGCACTTAGGTTTCAAGTTCCTTTGATCATTTTGATCTCTTCTTCCTGCAAATGCTATCACTTAGCAAGTAAGAAAGGAAGAAGACTATAGGCCAGGAGAGGGGAGAAAAAACCCTCAAGAGTAAAAATTTTGTTTTGTCTTCCCATTCTTCCCTACTAACAGTATGTAACAAAAAAATAGGTCAGGAAAAAAAAATATGTATACCCTTGAAGAACTGAATCAAGTAGATTGTTAAAAGATACTCTCTTAGGAGAGTCCAAAAAACCTCACACCCCAGAGATGAGATTTCACTGTATAAATTCTGTTAGAAGCCCCTAAGTTTTAGTTTGTTACCAGAAGGCTCAGTGATTTATTCATCCTAAAGTGCTATTGTCAACATTTGAGTAGAAGATGATTCCCCCCACTTTGGAAAACCTGTGATTATAAAATGTGAACTAAATTTCAGGTACAATTTTATTTTTTGGACTTGGTCTCAGAGTCAGGTTTGCCTTATGGGAATAGAGCCCTGAAATGATAAAAGTGACGTTGAGTATTTTCTGAGTCTATTTATAAAAAGTGACGTTTCATTTAATTTTTCAGAACTACTCTGTTACATAGTGAAGCATATCTGAAATTTATTTTTAAAAAAACCTTCCAGCAATCTTTTGATGACTTGCTATTTATAAACCCTACGGCCAAACTTAATCTAGAGGTTTGTACTGCCAATTTCACAGTGAACAGGTGAGCAAGCCTTCAGTTTACACTCCCCAGAAAACGCTGACTTAAAATGGAAGTATGTGCAATGTATGCAAGAAAGCCAGTTAGAAGAATGATGCTCTTTAAAAAGTCTCTCTCTCTTTTTTTTTTCTTTTCCTTTTGGTGGTGCTGAGAATCGAATTCAGGACCATATACACTACTAAGTCAGCACTTTATCACTTGACCACATGCCTAATCAATTTTTGAACTGCTTTGTTATAAAATAAAACACGAAATACAGAAAACCACACAAAATAAATATAAATCTTGTGACTGATAAAGTGAACATCTGTAACTACTACTCAGGTCAAGAGCTCTCCACATACTCTCCAAATCCCTCTACCTGCCAACCAATGACAATCCTCTACTCCTTTCCAAGTAATGACCATGACTGTGGGTTTTGTTTGTTTGTTTTGCAGTACTGGGGTTGGAACTCAGGGCCTCACATTTGCTAGGCAAGCGCTCTACCACTTGAGCCATTCCACCAGCCCTGTTTTATGTTGGATATTTTCAAGACAGGGCTGGTTTTGAACCTCAATCCTCCTGATCTCTGCCTCCTGAGTGAGGCATGAGCCACTAGGACCCAGCTGACCATGACTTTTTCCCCCTCTTTTTATCATTACTATTTTCATCATCATCACCATTGTTGTTTCGTTGGGGGTCCACTGTGACAGTCACAAAAGTTCTTACAATATATCATAGCTGAATTTACTCCCTCCATCATTCTCCTTTATTCCCTCTCCCGTGCCCCCATTCCTGGAATAGTGTCAACAGGTCTCATTGTTCCATTTTCATACATGAGTACATAATATTTTCACCAAATTTATCCCTCTACACACTTTCCTTATATCCTCCCCCTCACACTGGCTGACGATAACTTTTAATGGTAATCACTTCTTTGCATTTCCATGTGTTTTTTCACTTACATATACACCCCTTTATAGTCTTTCTTTTATTTTTAAAGAATCTCACACAATTTTTAAGTCTCTCTTAATTTGCAATTCTAACTACCCATGTCATCCCACTTCCTCCTTACAATTCAACTACTGAACCCAGGACAAGCTGGTTCAATACATGGTAACACATGCCTATAATCCCAGCACTAGGGAGTTGGAGACCAGCCCAGGCTACATATCGAGACTCTGTCTCAAAACACACAAACACACACACACACACACTGTGGACACTGTTCAAGTGGCAGGGCCCTCGTCTAGCAAGTCAGAGGCTCTGAGTTCAAATGCCAGTGCTGCCAAAATGAACAAACACACACCCAGAACCTGGGGAATTTAAACCATAACACTTCCCACAGTTTTTCTAACTGTACACCTTGTCTCCAGTATTTATTGAAAATTGCAGCTGGCTCTAGAAGCTTGACCAATTTCAGATTTGATCCCTTTGGCAAAGCTTTGCTAGTGGTATGTTCTTTTCTCAGGAGGCATAATTATTTTCTTGTTTGTTTTTAGTGTTGGGGATCAAACCCAGGACCTTACATATGCTAGGCAAGCACTGAGCCACATCCCTGCTTGATTTTTTTAATGGGACTGGGGTTCAAACTCAGGGCTTCACACTTGCAAAGTAGGTGTTCTCACTTGAGCCAAACCTTCAGCCCATTTTTTTCTGGTTATTTTGGCGAGATGGGTTCTCACAAACTACCCTGGCTGGCTTCAAACTGCAATCCTCCTGATCTCAGTCCCAAGTAGCTAGGTTTACAGGCACAAGCCACTGGCACCTGGCTTCTGATTTTTGTTTCAGATGTCAGTTGTTACTGATGCTTAATGCCTATATTAATAGGGATTGCAAAATGATATATCCTGTCATTCTGCTTTCTTTTTATTTTGTCATTATAAAAAGGTTTATTTGGCTCATGGTCTGTTCAAAAGATTGAGGGGCATCACCTGATGATGGCCTTTCTTGTTGGTCAAGTCCCAAAGTGTCTCAAAGCATCACATGGGTATCACAATACCTGACTTCAAACTATATTACAAAGCAATAATAATAAAAACAGCATGGTACTGACACAAAAACAGACATGAAGACCAGTGGAACAGAATAGAGGATCCAGATATGAAGCCACACAACTATAAGCAACTTATCTTTGACAAAGGAGCTAAAAATATACGATGGAGAAATAGCAGCCTCTTCAACAAAAACTGCTGGGAAAACTGGTTAGCAGTCTGCAAAAAACTGAAACTAGATCCATGTATATCACCCTATACCAAGATTAACTCAAAATGGATCAAGGATCTTAATATCAGACCCCAAACTCTTAAGTTGATACAAGAAAGAGTAGGAAATACTCTGGAGTTAGTAGGTATAGGTAAGAACTTTCTCAATGAAACCCCAGCAGCACAGCAACTAAGAGATAGCATAGATAAATGGGACCTCATAAAACTAAAAAGCTTCTGTTCATCAAAAGAAATGGTCTCTAAACTGAAGAGAACACCCACAGAGTGGGAGAAAATATTTGCCAATTATACATCAGACAAAGGACTGATAACCAGAATATACAGGGAACTTAAAAAACTAAATTCTCCCAAAACTAATGAACCAATAAAGAAATGGGCAGTGAACTAAACAGAACTTTCTCAAAAGAAGAAATTCAAATGGCCAGAAAACACATGAAAAAATGCTCACCATCTCTAGCAATAAAGGAAA